CTGTGACCTTATTCTATGAATTGCATTGGAAATAGATTCTGTGGAAATGGCATTGATACTGAAAGCTATTTTTCCTTCTTCCTCTAATTCACTGAGTGTTTAATAAAGGCAGCTTGTTTGTTTACTATGATAGAATTTACGTAAATACAATTTCTGAATCTAAGAAAAATGGAAATTTAAAATAACGTTGAGTTCCTTCCTCCAGTGCAAAATGGCACAGAAAATACAGTATCCAACCAGAGCAAGCGGCCGGAGCAGCCTTTAATCAGGGAGTGTGAGACCCTTCGCCCACCGGTTCTAGCCTCTCTCCCATGCAAGCCGGGAATCAATCATGCTAGAGTTTGCCACACGTTGAAATAGAACTTCAAAGGGGAAATGAGATAGGACAGCCACTCCTTTCCGACTAACGGAACAGAGCAGATAGAGTTCCCCTTGCTGGCTGAACCCCTTCTCAGCCAGAGGGCAATGGGCAGAAGGATCACTTGGTGGTGGACAGCAGTCTCTGCCCTTTTCATCACCTCTTCCTCAGCTCAGGCCAAGTGTGGAGGGGAGGCTGTGGGTGAGCTGGACGTAGCGCCAAAGATGTGATGCCCGTGAATCTACACTTTCTCAGACCCTCAACCAGGTGTAATAAGACATAAAAATATCATGCTTGCCTTTTATTGTGCCATCCTTCATTTTCTTGTATTTCTTTCTCCAACTAGAATTTTTGGGTCTTTATGAATAGTAATGTTAATGAGACAAGCATGGATGTTCTTCATTTACATTGAGACATGGTGGGCTTATAGCGTGCCAGCTAGGCTTATTAATTCCAAAGTTCTCTTTAATGCTCTCATTACACAGTCGTTCTATCTAGATGGCCTCACACGTCTACTTTGGGAAGGTATATAGCAGAATGAAACACCGTCCCTGCCTGGTCGCTGGAACCTGGGCTGGCTCGGCAGTCTGGACAGGTTGTTCAAGACTGTCCCAAAGGCCAGTTCCAGTGAATGAGTCTCCCCACAAGCAACCTGATATTCAGGTCAGATGCAGCTTAGGTAGTTTCAGCAATCAGAACCTCGTGGCTGGGGAAATGCTCCTGTGGGCTGTGACCATGGAGCACAGGTAAAGAGCCACCTCCAGTGGGGCGTCCACAGAGAGGAGGTGCCTTGCCAGGAACAGACTGCGACACCTTCTTCTTCTATGGCATGTTTGACGGCAGGTTCTGAAAAGCACGCTGGGACTTACTTCATGCATCATATTTATGCTTGCATATACCAGTGATCCGTGCCAGTGGAACATGGATTAAAAAATCCACAGAGAAGGCCAAAGTTAATTTTAGGTATCGCTTCGGTGTCCAACCCCTCAGTCTCTTGCAGGTCTTGGTTAGGCTGGGTGTGAAGAACTTGAGAGCAACGAAGGCTGTTAAATACTGAAATGAATTAATAAGCAGCTGCTCTTTCCTGGAGAAGAATAGAGACTTGCATCCGTCTGGATAGTCTAAAGGCAGTGTCCCCTGATGGCGTTTAGACCGTGCCCAGGGACAGCTCCTTTGAGCCCCAGAAGCCTGTGTGTTCTCCAAAGCCTCTACTTATGCTCCTCCTGCCTCTTTCCCTTCCTTCACGGTCTGCTGTAGAGGATACAATCAGCTCACTGCTGAACAGCACAGAGAAATGAGTTCGCGACTGCGGTGTGCGACAGTTTAGCCTCCATGCCTGCCTATCTGGGTTTTTAATTGTCCCTTCCGTGTGCCTCCGTTTCCTCTGAGGAGGAGGAGATCAGAACGAGAAACCGCATATAAGATGCTGGGCGCTTAACTGAGCGCGTCCATCCACAAAGCCTCTAGATCAGTTCCTGGTACATGATAAACAATGAACGTTGCTTAGTTGTTATCTCTACAGAACGAACGTATACAGTGCTTTCTACCTGTGTAAAAACAAAGGCATCGTTTTTGTTTTCCAAAAGACAGAAGTGGGTGGGTAACTGACAGGCTTGCACTATGAGCAGGGTCCTTTCACTGTTTCTTAGACTATTACCCAAGATAGATCATATTTGCCTCTCACATTCCAATGAAGGTCAAGATACACGCTAAAATATTTATGCTTTATCAATGTACAAAGGGCAGTTTCAGCATCTCTCCTAGGCACCTTAATGCAAGAATACAAACAGCTCTGACACCACCAACAATAAAAAGGTGCTATCAATTAAAAAAAATCTCCTTCTCTCTTTTGATTTGGTTCTATAGCCTATCTTTTTAAGATATAAAATAGCTAGTATCTCAAAAAACCACCTTACGGTCGGTCGGGCAGCAGTGGCGTATGCCTCTAATCCCAGCACTCGGGAGGCAGAGGCAAAAGGATCTCTGTGAGTTTGAGGCCAGCCTGGTCTACAGAGTGAGTTCCAGGATGGCCAGGACCACACAGAGAAGCCCTGTCTCATAAAAACAAAAATGAAAACAAAAACAAACAAATAAAAAACATAAAACACCACCTTTAAACCAAAGGCTATGTTGTCTAGAGTCTAGGATTTAATAACCAACAGCAACAATTTCCTGCGAATGGATAAATCTGTAGCTGACTAAATAGTCTGCTGTATGGCATCTCTGCTCCTAGTTTCCTGAATGTCAACAGATGGGTCCTTAGCTTTTTTCAGGCATGGTTTCCTCATCCACAAAACAGGGGTGTGTGGGGCAGTGAAGCCATACCTAACTTCTCATCCCTAGGCGAGGTGAGAGATGGAAAGGTATTAACAAGAGTTCATAACTCAGTAGTCATTCAGAAAAACAGCATACACACACACACCACACAAGATTTCAGACATCAGATCATAATCCTATCAATGATGTCATTCTATTAAAATTGAGACATTTATTTTTTTATGGAACAATGCAACATTCTCATAATACAGAGACATCAGTTATATTCCTTTCTTCTTCCTCATTTTACCATCTCCAGCTCTGCCCCATGTAGACCCTCTCTTTATCCCAACACAGAACTTAGCAACCACAACTGTAGAGACTGAGACAAAAAAATGGTTTGTTTTGCTGACTCATTGGACACCTCTCCCCCTTGTGATTCTTAATTCCTCCCCTTAGAGACAGTTGTGTGTGTGTGTGTGTGTGTGTGTGTGTGTGTGTGTGTGTGTGTGTCCTGTTTGCATTTTCAGGGGGGAAGAGCAGGGTTTGTGAGAGAGAAGGTGGAGCAAAGTTTCTTTTCTCACAGCAAAGCGTTCCTTGGAAAAGTGATGCTATATATACATGTTTATATATAATATATCCAGTGCAATCACAACTGTCCTGCCAGACACTCTGAAGTGCCACCTTGGTCGATGTATTTCTGGAGTTTTAAACAGCTGTCCCACAACAGCTGCATTGGAGTAAGACTTGGGCAGGTGGCTCCAGAGCAGGCACTTGCCACTCATATGCAGGCTGAGGCTTCCATGTTCACAGTTCACAGGAAAGAGCGTGTCTTCTGTCTGGAGTGGGTGCTGTGGCGAGGCGATGGGGCAAGCTGGGAGCTGGAGGCTGGGTCATGAGGAAGAAGTCTGGCTTCTTTGTACTTCTCTCTCATGGTGTGTGTGGCAAATTCACATCAGTGTGAAAAATATTCACAGCAAGAGGTCTCATTTTCCGCACACCAGCCAGCCTAAGCAAGCTCACCACAGACATTTCCAGTGCTTTAGCCAAGAGCCATTAAATGTAAATTAGAAGAGACTAATTTGAGACAATAGTTCTGTAAATGCGGTTTTTGCTTTTCCCACCAGACGGGGAAATTTGAAGTCTCTGCCATCCTGTGCTCTCTCACCCACTAAGGAAGGGACAGTGGCTGAGTCCCCACTGCTGGTCTTGAAGACAGAGGGGGGAGGGGAAACTCTGCCTCAGCAGGTCAGCTCAGAAGACGCTCACTGAGAATAGCAAGGACCTGCAAACCAAGACCAGAAACCATTACAAACCCACTCCATGTTAGCTCTGGCTGTCACCAATGGAACTATTCAGAGACGTACAGGAAAGACGGTGGTCTGTCTAAAACCCAAATAGATCCTTGACTTGATCCTGATTCTGCAAAACTGAAAATAAATAAATACAAGATCGGGTGCCGGGAGGGGGCAGGATACTTAAAGAAAAAAAAAAAAAAGACAAACGCACCATTTTTCTTATGAATGCTGCACACTTCATCTACTGGTGGCGAACGGTGAGTGTGCAAGTTGCACACTTCATCTACAGGCAGTGAATGGTGAAGCAAAGCACACGGAGAAGTAGAACCCTCATCGGAGAAGAGGGGCAAAGGGCAAAGGACTAGCCAATAACTGGGCTTATTTTAAACGTTTGTCATTTGCTCTAAAAACAAAAAAGAAGGCAGACCACTCCACTTCTCATCCGAGTGAATGCACGCATTTGAAGTTCAACTCCAAGCCAGCCATCTACGGTCTTAACATTACCATCAAAACCAGTCTAAATTTTACACCTGTAAAAGGCCTACTTAATTTGGCAGTTAAGCTGATGTAAGAGACCCCAGGAGTCACAGGTACTCTGGATCAACGCCGTGAAGCAGCGATGAAATGCTCTGGCGCCATAGGCGTCACCGGAAGAAGAAACAATGAAGCCTTTTAATAATATATTTTATTTAACCCAATATCATCAATAGGCAACTGCTGGACATATTAGAACATGCAAACTCAGTATAAAATGTTAACGAGGTGAGGTTTTACATCATTTTTCTTTTGCAGTTTTGGAGATCCAGTGTGTATTATGTCTGACAGCACATCACCGTTCATCCTAGCCACGGGGCAAAGAATCAGCAGTCACGTGTGGTTAGTGGTTACTGTCTGCCCAGTGCAGGCTAGAATCTTTCCACCGAACTTTATTCAAAGAACAGAAAGAGTCCTCTGTACCACCGAGCAACCAGGCCGAGGGCAGGGTGCTACTTTCTAGAGACATCTACCCGTAGAAACAAATGATGGCATGCAATCTCTCAGCCACATGGTCCTGGGGGGGGGGGGGGGGTCTCCCAAGGGAAGTCGGGGGCGTCTGCGCCTCAGCCCAGAGTCGGGTACAGTGCTGGAGGAGCTGCGGGGAGACTGCACTCCCTCCTCCGCTTACCTGAGTCCACGCTGAGGCCCAGGCTCTGGGCCACGTCCCCCGTGGGGCTCACGAAGGGTCCCCCGGGCGCAGCCCACGCGCCGCCCGCCGGCTCGCCCTTGGCCGCGAGCTCGCAGGGCGGGCTGCCGGGAGCCGGTGCGGAGGCCGGGGCCAGGCGGCCGGGGCGGCCCGAGGCGGCGGGCATGAGCAGCGGCCCATAGCGCGGGTCGAAGTGGGGCGCGTAGACCTCGTGCACGGCTGGCCGCGGGTAGGCTGAGGCTTGCGCGCCTAGGGCGCCGCCCAGCGCGTAGGGATGGTGCGGGTGCGGGTGTGCGTGGTGCGGGTGTGCGTGGTGCCAGTCGGCCGCGCCCTGGTGCAGGTGGCCGTGCAGCGCGGCTGGGGAGTAGGGGTCGGCGGTGGCGAAGGGCAGCTCCGAGTGCGCGGCGGCCAGAGGACTGCCCAGGGGCGAGGGCACCGGCGCCGCCTGGTACGCGCTGTTCCAGAAGGAGGCCGGGAAGCTGCGCTGGCTCATCGGGAAGGTGCCTTCTGCTGGCCCGGGATGGGAGGGAAAGCGAGAAAGGAGTATGTCACGGAGGCCGTGCCAGCCTACCGGACCCGGGGCCCTAGGGATCAAGGGCTGGAAGGCCGCGGGAGGGGCACGACCCTCAGCCTTCATCTCTGGGCGGCTTTCTAAGAGGCCTGCTGCGGGTGACAGTGAGGCCAACGCACTGAGAAGTGGGGGCTCCCCGAAAGTCCCCCCCACCCAGAACATCTGAATCACCCAGCTTTCTAGATGATGCCAGCAACAGAATTTCTGATGGTGGAGGAGGTCGGAGATTTTAGGACAAGAGAGCTTGCCCTCTCCCCTCTGGTCCAGGGCAGACTACCTTTTCCAGGCTGCAGCTGAAGACCCTTGTCCCTTTGTCTGAGGTCTAGCTATCACACTGTCCTCTCTCCCGTCTCAACCCTCCCCGCTCCAGAAAATGTTCCATTTCAAGATAGGTGAATGTTAGACTGGGAGACCACGGATAGACTTCCAAGGCTTGTTATTAGTGGTGTTTGTTTTTTTTTTCCCTAGAGGTCTTCTTTCAAATATTCCCCCTCTCGCGAGAATTGAAGGAGCTAAGTGAAGCAGGTATGTTAAAAGAGCAGCCGTGTGTTATTTGCATAGACAGCTTTAAAAAAATCCCAAATTTTAATTAACAAACTTTTTTTTTTTTTTTGGTTTTTTTTCGAGACAGGGTTTCTCTGTGTAGCTTTGCGCCTTTCCTGGAACTCGCTTTGGAAACCAGGCTGGCCTCGAACTCACAGAGATCCGCCTGGCTCTGCCTCCCGAGTGCTGGGATTAAAGGCGTGCGCCACCACCGCCCGGCAATAAACTTTTTTATCAAAGTGAGGATGCCAGGAATAATAATAATAATAATAATAATAATAATAATAATAATAATAATTCAGTCATCAGTATCACTGTCAACTCCCTAGAGTATGGCAGCATAAGAGAAGGGCGCTTAGATCTAGTTAGTTAGTTGCCTTGGGTAGAGAAGGAGAGAAAGGCATTCAATTCAATGCCACTTCATGGTACATCACTTCTGGGGAGGCATAGGTTCCACATGCTACAACATCTAAAACGACTTGGAAATCACCTTCTGGATGGTGAACAAATGTCCCGTTGAAAAAGAATTTAGGCAATGGGAGGGGAAAAAAAAGGAAGTTTTGTGTCTAAAACGAATGCTTTGAAATCTTGTCTAAGGGCAAAGTTTGTGCAAAATGCCAGATACTATCATGAAAATAACTAGGGGGGTAATAAGGGCTGTGATTCCCCGCACAAATGGCAAATGAAAATTAGTTTCTTTTCTTTTCTTTTCTTTTTTTTTAAACAACAAAGTTTTCACTTCTCAGCTTAATTAGACAGCAAAGACTAAACTGCCTGAGAGTGTTTATGGACGATTTTCTCTACCTCCGTGTTGTTGGTAATAGAGGGGAATTGCTGCTAAGGGTGATTCAGAAGGTTCCTTTGTAGTTACAGTAGAGCAGTTCTGTGTAGGGGATGTAGAAAAAGACTCCTCTCTTTCTTGAAACCGTTAAAGGTGTTTGGGGTCTTTGCTACGTCACTGGCTTGCATTGTAAAGAATTTCCGCTTTAAGATTTCTCAAGTATTTGAAGCCGGACAAGTTTCAGGAGGTAATCTCAAACAGATTTTGCTTGCAGGGAGGTTGATGGGCAAATTTTCAGAAATTGGGAAGGAGCCTTGTAGGTTGTTGGTGAAGGTTCTACCCCATTGGGTGTGGGAAACCCCAGGTTTCCACAGGGCATCAAGAGACATTTCAGTTTTTGACTCTTATAGCCTTCTCTGGGGATGGTTCAGAGGGCAAGTATTATTCTAATTTTAGAGACCAGTAAATACTGACCTCCAAGAGGTTAAAAGACTTGCCCAAGGTCATATGGCTAGGAATTGGTAGGACCGATACACACACCTAAGTCTTCCAATTCCAAGGCCACTCTCCCCGCTCCCTCCAGACCACCGCTTTCCTTTGCCTCCCTACGAAGAGTTTTCTTTCCGTCTTCATGCCTCATGCCCTGCTCAAATGCTGCCCTTCACCCCATCCCCTTCAGGTTACTGCTCTTCCCGCCGGCCGTGCTTCTTTGGGACCTTGGAGGTAGCCGGCCGGCAGGCAGATAAACCTCCACCGACCCATCTCCATGGGGTCCTACTCACCTCTCCAGGGTCCCGAGCTCCTGTGGGCTTTGCTGCTCGCACAGCTGGGGGTGTAGCTGCTGGGCTGGCTCAGGGCCCTACTGAAATGTTCATCCACCACAGAGCTGATGTCGCCCTGGAAGTAGGTGAAGAGCACGCATCTGGAGTTGATGTACTCAGCTTCGGGTGGACGCTCTTTCTCTGGGCTGCCCTCCTCTTCCTTGACGCTGGCTGGGGTTTGGTTGGAAAAGGAGGAGCTCCCGCTGGCGCTGCTGCTGGGGCTGGCGTTGCATTCTTGGGCTTCCTGCATTTTCGAGTAGTAGGCTAGTTTCTGTTCAGAGAGAGAAAGAGTTAAAAATCAGTATCTGAAGAGATGGTCAGTGTAGGTTCACCCTATGCATTGAGAAACTGGCATCTCTGCCTCCGCTTTGCTCTTGCTAAAAACAAACAAACAAAAAACAAAAAACTAACAAACAAAAAGTAGCAATAGATGGTAACATAGTTGCCTCTCTGCCTGCAATAGTCTCTAAAGAAAATTGCCCTCTTTGATACCCTCTCTCCCCAGAATTGCAGCTGGGCTGCAGGAAAACTCTCTTAAAATGTTGGGGTGAAAATCTCAGAGGACATTAAAATGACGTATCCATCCATCCATTCATCCATTCATCCAACAAACAAACAGAGAGAACAAAACAAACAAACAAAAACCAGGCCAGACCATCAGGACTGTAAGCTGAGTTCAGCTTTCGGGGCTGTGCTTGGGGCATATAGAATTTTTTAAATCCGAGCACCCAAGTTAAGTTGGTAGCTCTTCTCTCCAGGAGAACTCAGCAGAAGCACAAGAAGACACGAGACTAAGCACCCTCATGACGGAACAGAAAAGCAACAACAACAATGACAAAAGGAATCCACATTACACAATCAGGAATGAAGAAAAGTGCCCAGAAAACAAGAAAGAGTTCCAGGATCATGACTGGGGAAATTGTGACTCTTTTTAATAAATGCAAGTTGATTTATTTATTTATTTATTTTTTGGTATGGGCACCCACAAAACCCTCCAAAGTCGGTGTCAGTTGTTTGCATTCATTAGGTTGGTTTTGAGGCAAGGTTTCATACAACCTAGGCTGGTCTGAAACTTGCCGTGTAGCTGAGAGCGGCCTTGAAGTAAGATCTTCCTGTCTCAGCCTCCCAAGTGCTGGGGGTCACGGGCGCATTCTCCGTATTTGTAGTTTTAAAACAGATCACGTAAGGAAGGAAGAGTCAGCAAACGGTTACCGCACTAGCATCTCCAAACAGAGGTTATAAAACGGAGCCACGAAGAAGATTGGGATCCTGGCGTACTCCTGAGCCAGTCACTGTACCAGCGAAACTTTAAGACCAGATGCGGCTACTGAGCACATTGTCTTAGAAATGAGCCATGGACCGGGTACAGTGCTAAATCATTCTCAAGACAGAGGTGGCCTTGAAGGGAAGGGCAGAGCCACACAAGGTGCAGAGATTTTATGTAGTAGATAGGTCTGGGGTCCAGAAGGAGAAAGGGCCAGCTAGAAGACCTAACTATCTCTCTTCTTTTTGAAGTGGATCGCCCCATACCGGGAAAAGGCTCCTGAGCTCAGAAGCTGGGGCCCAAAGATTCCAGTTTTTAACAACATCACCACACTCGGAATGCCACGTTCCCACCTGGTTTACAAGGAGAAGCCATGCAATTTTTAAATCTAACACAAACTAGGACTAACTACAGATTCTCGGTTGGAAAGTTTGCGCGGGAGGAAGTGTGTGTGTGTGTGTGGGGGGGGGAGACCTAACGCAAAATCTCATTTCATCATTTTAATATATTGTTGGGGTTTGCAAACGAAGTTGTCTGAAGTGTTGACTCCAACACGACATTTAGTTTCACTGTTCCCCAAAGAGAAGACCAGGTGCTTGCTTTCCAGCCTGGTCCAGAATTCTGCCGCTCCAGGTGTGTACTTTTGTCTTCCCCCTGGAATACTGTTCTCAGATTCTGCTACCTTGCCTGAGGACACGGAAGGAAACAGTAGTTGGCTACGCACACAGCCCAAGAAAAAGAGAAACCAGAAATCGGCAGAATCGAACAAAACTTGAACAGTTTGCAGGAGCGGGGTTAAATGATCTTAAAAGTGACTTTGGGCTGTCGGGATGCTGCCATTTGAATCCCAGAAAGGCTAGCTCCTGGGGCGGGACAATCACTCCGGAATAATGCTCCCTAGAATTTCGCAAAGCACAGATCACAAGGCCGATGCGGTCGCTCTGCGCGTTTCTCCTGAAAACGAATCCACCAGTTTCGGAGCTAGTTGGCCCGACCGCCTGGGAACTGAAATGGAGGAGATTATTCCCGGAACAATCGCGGAGCTCTCCATCTGGGAACCACAGAGGCAGGCTTTTGATTTTCTTTTTTTGTTTTTACCCCTAAGGTCAAAACCAAAGTTCGGATTTCCCTGTGTGAACTTTGCGGGGAGCCCTGTGCACTCTCACCAGAGTCTAAGAAGAAAATTCAGTGGGGACCATCCTGGTCTAACTGTTCTGGGGAAGGCCTGGGTGCATATTATCACGACTTCGCTGCCCTCTCAAGACAGCAAATGGATTAAAGAGAATTAGCTGCGGTCCCGGCATCCCGGCGTCTTTGGCTGCCTGTCTGTCGCCCCTGGCGCGCAGAGAGGCTCCGGCGACTTTTCGGGTAGCAACTACTTCTTTCGTAGTCTGGGGTGCTCCACCGGTCCCCGCCCCACCCGAACAGACTCGTACCTGGTGGTAGGGAGTGTAGGCGGCTGCGAAATAAGGCTGCGGGGGACCGTAGACCTGGTACATAACATCCAGACAGCTCATGGCTCCCCGCCGCGGAGGCAGCTGAGTGGTTTCTCATCCACGCTGTTTTGGGGGAGCTCAAGGATGCTGCAGCAGCGAGGGCGGCACCGGAGTCCCAGAGTCATGGGCCGCGGGGTAGTGCTGGGCTGGGGATGCGGCGAGCTCGCTCCCCTCCCACTCCGCGGTTTCAGCCGGGCCGCGCTCCCGGGCAGAAGCGCCCCGGCTCCCGCTAGTGCGCATTTAAACCCCGCAGCCAGTGGCGCGCTGACGCTACGAGGGGGCGGGGACCAGAGGACAGCTACGCGGTCGCAGAGTTTCCCGGGAACTCCCTCGCGGGAAAGCTTGTGGCCCGGGCGTCAGAGACTGTGGATCCTGAAAGTGGGGCCCCAGGCTTCCCTCCCGGAGCAGCGATTTCCCCCTTTGCCTTGTTTCCACGCTGGACAAAGACCGCAGAGACACAGAGGCAGAGAGAACAGGAACAAGCTAGGGTGCGGATATGGGCAGAACGCAGGAAAGTCGCGGGCAGATCTTGTGGCAGAACCTCTGCCGGCAGTTCCCAGAAGATGCTTGGAGAGGGACAGAGCTGTCTTTTGGAATCTCTGCGGGATCTAGGTTGTCACAGATAGATTATGAAAGGAGTCCCGGGACTCCGCCGGGAAGGGGCCGGCAGTGACTAAGACTTGCAAACTCTCCCCTTGTCCCATCTCCTGTGCGCTTTCACCAACCCTTGTTCCGGTCCCAGCACCCCCCTACCCACCTCTAATTTTAATTCTTCTTGTGTCGTTCCTTTCTGTCTGCCTAAAGTTCGATCCCATCTCGTTCTCTTTGATGCGCTTAATGAACTAACTCGATCCCCGCGGATGGCGCCAGTTCTGTGTGAACTACTTTCCAAGATTCCAAAAGCTCCTACCCAGACCCTTTATGCCTGGCTCGCCAAGACAGGGTCTCGCCCTGGCCCTTTAAAGTTCCTTAATGTTTAGAGCAAGGACTCCTTGGTTCTCAGACGCACCTAGGCACTGCAGTCCGAGGACTTGGGTTGTCTCTTTGGTTGGCTATAAAACTGTGATGGTCAGTTTTGCTTAAGAAGCGAGACAGTGTGAAACATACCCCTTAGAGATTCCTTTTCTTGTCCAGTGAAGGCAGCGGGGTGAGCTCTTATTGCGGGGTGGGGGGAATTGGTGTCTGCTCCAAGCTCCACCAGAAGCCCTTGTGGGAGGGGATGTATCAACGGAATCTTCCATCTAGTGTAAGAGTGAGTTGACAGACACATGGCTACCTCGTGGCAAGGTCAAAGGACCAAAAGTTCTTTAGATGGGAAGACCCTCAAGAAACCATTGAGAGCCAGTTTTGGGGACTGGGGGCACAGGTGATGAACTTGAGAACCCAGAACCGAGGAATGTTCATCCTGGATAGATGAAAGTGAATAGATGCTGTGTTATCTGACAGTTTGAATTCCATAACCACAATTCTCATTCAACTGAAAGCAATTAACTTTTTGAACATACCTCTTTTTGAAAAGTGGAGCATTTGAAATTAAATTGCTTCTGTATTGGGTTTTTGGTTTGTGTTTTTTCAAAAAGGGGCTCCAGTCCAGCTTATAAATGGGAAGCCATCCTGAGGGATTCCTCAACTACAATGTAATAATGTATTACAAGGTAAAATGTAAAAACTGTGCTGGACCGTGTACAAACTGTATAATCCAGCACTTTGCAGGCCGAGGAAGGAGAATCACCAGGTTTTGGGCCCGGTCTAGTCTACACAACAAATCATCATCTCAGAAAACCAAAATAAATATGAATAAATACAAATAATCTCCCAGTACAATTTTTAGGGGCTAGGCCAAGGGTGGCTTAATCAGGAGGGTGGGGACACTCTGGATTTTTCCATTGTGAAGGTGCACAGGTGTAGAACATCCCGCTCAGCTCTCCACTGCTCTTGGTTAAAAGAGTTTTAAAAGATGTGCATGGTGCCCTAGGCACCTGGACCACAATCCACTGGATGCAGGAGGCCTTGCTCCTAGATGCCACACACACTTGCTTCAGGTGGCCATTGGCTGGGCAAGGCAGGCTGGAAGCTAGGAGTTGGCTCAGGCCACAGAGCTAAGGACACCTTATTAGGCCAGGTGCCAAACAGTCACATCTGTGAACCTGACCCAGCCTTGGCTGCTTCCAGCCCAGCTTCATAGGTTCAAATCTCCAAATCCAGCCTTGAGCACAGAGGTTTCACTTTCAAAGAGTGCTTCTTCAGGAGGCTCTGCTGCACAGAGTTGGTGAGTGTGTGTGTGTGTGTGTGTGTGTGTGTGTGTGTGTGTGTGTGTGTGTGTTTGGGGGGGAGTATGTTGGGGAGGAAGCTGAGAAAAAGAGAGATGAGGGGACAGGAAAAATGGGGTTCTTGGGTTTTGTCTTCTTTGCCTACTCCCTTTTAGAATAAGGGCTTAGCCACGAATGTTTAGCTAGATTCCTTCCTTCCTCCCTCCCTCCCTCCCTCCCTCCCTCCTTCCTTCCCTCCCTCTCTCCCTGTCTCTTTCTTTCTTTCTTTCTTTCTTTCTTTCTTTCTTTCTTTCTTTCTTTCTTTCTTTCTTTCTTTCTTTCTTTCTCAGCTTTGGCCTTCTAGGGAAAAATCATGACAACTTCTTCAGGTCCTCCAAGGCCTAGTAATGTGTTACATCTGAGAAGGACGACAGGAGCTGGGTAGTCTGTGGGAAGGAGGGAAAGATATCTCAAGATCTGAGGCTGCCTTTGGTCCACATGTCTCCATTCCCTCTTACAGGAAGTAGTGTATAACAACTTTGACAAGTAGGGATGGTCCACAAGTTTAAAGGAACATAGGGGACTGGTCTTGGAATTAGTCAGGAGAGCATTCCTGTCCACCCAAAACATAAATTAAGAAAATTAGCAGCCTCAAAGTTTCAAAATACAACTAAAGTGAAGCATGTTGAGTGTTTTCTTTCTGAAAAGCTGTCAGGCACATGAAGGTGATATTTTTCAGCCTTACCAGACAGTCCCTAGTGTACGATGAAGTACAAAGTAAACCCAGGTTCCTTAAACCTTTTACTGTCTCATCTGTTCAAGCTACCAAGTCAGGAACAGAGTGGAAGAAACCAGGTTTTAGTCCAGAGGCTTGGAACCGGGCCACTGATTACAGACAACCAATGTTCCTTACCCCTTTCCATTCCCTTTCTCATTTCTTTTTTCAGAGAAAGACTGAACAGTTAAACGATTGAGAATTGGATTCCCATGTACAAAAGGGTCAACAAACCACAGAAAAAGAAATGCATAACCAATTGTATCAGAATGTGTTTAACTTTCTAATTACTTCAGGATAGATTCAATTTGTTGAACTGCTATGATTAGACCAAAATGTCTTTATGTCCTTTATAAAAAAAAGTTCTCTCCCTCCCTCTCCCTCTTTTTCTTTCTGTCTCTCTGTCTCTGTCTCTGTCTCTGTCTCTGTCTCTGTCTCTGTCTCTCTCTCTCTCTCTCTCTCTCTCTCTGTCTCTCTCTCTGTATGTATGTGTGTGTTGCATGTATCCTGTCCCTGTAGAGGTCAGAAGAGGGCACAAGACCCCTAGAACTGTGTGGGTTCTGGGAGCTGAATCTTGGTCCTCCGGAAAAGTAGTAAAAGCACTTAACCACTGAAAAATCTCTTCAGACACCTGGAATGTCCTATTAATACACTACTTCATCAAAATGTGGTGAATCATGCTTGAAGTCCCAGTACTCTGGTAGAATGATGCAGAAGAATTGCCATGAGTTCAAGGCTGCAGAATGAGACCCTGCATCAAAAGACAAAGCAAAGAAAATGCCCCCTATGGTGATATTTTATTTGAAATAAAATGTTATTTGTATGTTAATAAATAAAGTTGCCCGGGGGGTCAGAGCTATTAGCAAGCCATAGGAAAGCAGGGCAGTGGTGGCATATGCTTGTAATCCCAGCACTTGGTAGGCAGAACTGGGTAAGTCTCTGTGTGTTCAGGGATACAGCCATTATTGGATACACATGCCTTTAATCTCAATACCAATCATGGAAAACCTGGAGGCCTATACAGACAGGCTGTGAGGAGGCGGTCATGTGGTTGGGTTTACAACCAATGAGAAGGCAGAACAGGAACTCTATATAAAGACTTTAACACAGGAAGTAGCTCTGGTTCGGAGAGGTAGGACCACTGCAGGAGGAAGGGTAAGGTTTTAGCTCTTAGCTCTGACCTCTTGGCTTTCTTCTTTGCACTGGTTCTGTGTTTCTTATTTAATAAGAAGGTTGGTTACATCTACAGCCCCCCTTCTAGTCTGCAATTCTAACATGATCTAAAACATAAAATAATGACCACCCTTCTTAAAGTCAGTCAACTAAATATTTTTGAGTGCCCACCGAGGTCAGAAGAGTGAGTCAGATGCCCTGGAACTGGAGTTATTGATGTTCAGGAGCCACGATATAGGTGCTTTGAATCAAATGCAGACCCTTGGCAAGAGCTGAGTCCTCTAAACTGCTGAGCCAACTCTCCAGCTCCAAGATGCATTTTTAAAACTGAGATATGAATAAGACTAGATGGGTAAACCACGCCAGGCCAGGCCCTCAGTTGCCTGTGGTTTGTTGGGATCACAAGAGCTGGCACTGTTTGCTGTCGTATTCTGCCAACCAGAGGGTTGAACACAATGGTAATCTCAGAGATTTCCCTCCCTAAAGCCATCTTGCCACTTTAACTGGAGAGATGTGTTTGGACTTAGGAGAGCAGCTGTCAAGATTTGGTGGATTCAAGCTGTTAATAATATTAAGTGGAAACATCTCTGCAAAGCTGGATTTTCAGGTGCGCTGTGCTACCTACAAATGACAGCCCACTAGTGGAATGTCTGTGTGGTAACTGTATTTTAGAGAAATAAAATGAGGAAAAAAGAGAAATTCGTATAGTTTGAAGACTTACTAAAAAGATTTAGTGGGAAAACAAGGAAAAAATTCAATTATTTTCATTCAAATTTAGAATACATACATCCTAACAGTGTTCAGAAAAAGTCCATGCATGGTCAGACCAGATGAATGATTGAGACTACTTGGATTACTTGACACACACACACACACACACACACACACACACACACACACACACACACATTATTATAAGAGTGTTAAATTTACCTGCCTCATATTTTTGAGACTATTTCTATGTAGTTTACAAGTCAATTTTATCTTTGGTGTAATAGTCACAATTTTCTGAAATTCATCTTTCCTTGAGTTTGTGTACCCATTAAGAATGGTTAAAATTATATTTATCTTTCATAAATTCATTTTATTGGATCTCCATGAAGTATTTCATAAAAGGGATGATTATGTGAATTTAATGCATATGACCCAAGCCTTCAAAAATGATGAGTTACAGGTAGTGAAATGTATAATTGAGATAGATATCTATTAAGTACTTTGGATTGTCATATTTTTAAAAGAGAAAAAACTGAAAGAAATTTACATTCTGTAATACTCATTTGGGTAAAAAGTTAAGTCAGAGAGCACATGTCAATCATTTGCTGATAGGAAGTTGTTTTAACGTTAGTTTTCGCTTACAAACAATTTAATCACCTTTGATTTCTGACTGGATTCATTCCCCTCCTAATCTAAAGACATAGGGTCTAGAGATCATCTAGAAATGACCGTATCATGAAAGTTCTCACACTACACAGGGGTGCAGCATGATTTGCAGATTGCGAAGTGGAAGCTGGCTGAAGGATTCAGATGCGTGACTTAGATGCTTGACAGTATTGGTGTTGATCCATCCCCAAACTTGTGTTTATAAACTTGACTTCAGCAGGATGTTGAAAGGATTAAAAGGGAACCACACCAACAGACAGAAGGTGAGGACATCCTGGAGTATGATGTTCTGTCGTACGTTCCAAGAGGTCTCGAGACAGCTTCTTAGGAGCTCCTGGGAAATTTCTCTCGGCATGCATGGAAGAATTTTCAAGCAACAAATGCCATGCTTGCACTGTCTGTTTTTAGTTACTTGTTATTATGACTGGCTTTTAAATAAATTTAATGGTGGCATAAGTAAAGCAAGTTTGTCTGTGTCTGAAATATACAGTACAATATGAATTTATTTTTTTCAGGACCCTTGGCATACAGTCTAGGCCCAGCAAAGTAGTCTACAGTTACATTTTTGCTCTTAGCTTTGCATTACCGAAGCTCTGCATGCTGTCTTAAAATGAAAGTCCAGTTGTTGGCTGTGAAATCCAGACTTCACCAAGTGGTGTTATGTTTTCATGTTTCTTCAAGAGCAGCCTGAACCAACCAAGTTCAGAGGAAATAATCCGACCATAACTTTGTCTGAATTTTAACCAAATTAAATGTAAATTTTAGAGAGTAGTATTCCATTTTTAAAGCCTCAAGTCAGTCTTTCCACAACAAGAATCAAAACGGACACTGGTCACGCAAGAGGACAACAAGCTAAGTGTTCTTCTAGTTCTCATTCTGCTGTACAGTTTTAGGTTTGGGTGGTGGATAAGTGCATGAAATATATTTGATACCAAAAGTATAGACTTTAATGTGAGGCTTCACAGCTTCCATTTTGATGCCAAACATCTGTTTAGATGTTTATTAAGTTGAATAGACTGTGAGTCTGGTTATTTTGGTGTGCAATGTTTTTATTCTTTTACAATTTTCTTTAAATAATGAA